ACTTAGCAATCAGATATAGTGGTAACATTAGTTTGAGATAGGGAGAAGAGTTAATAATCAGAGTGTTTAAATAGATAACTCACAGGCAGGTTACAGATATGGCAGCATAGTGTAAAACTAACTGATAGTTGATCATCTGTATGGCAGACTACTTAAATTAGACAATAATTAAAATTGTAGATGTAGCTTGTTATATACTAATCATATAACTGTAAAACCTTAAGAAACTGTTCATGTGATAGTTCTGTAATAACAAATAAATAAAATCTAATCAGCCAAGGAAGTAGCCTTAAAAATAAAAATAAAAAATAGACAAGATTACTTAAATTTAAAAAAAAAACTAATTTAAATGCTAATTAAATAATAAATAACTATACTAAATAACTAAGTTAAATATTAATTAAATAATAAATAACTATACTAAATTATATAATAAATATAATAAATACAATAGAAATAATATAAATATGTAGTATAATTAATATATATAGTAAAAATAATATATATGATAGCAGTGTTTAAAATTGACTTACACAAGATACACATGTGCAAGAATTTTTTTGGATTTTTTAAAAATCTATTAAGTGTGCAAGTAAAATTTTTAAAAAAAGTTTCACAAAATGCATTTGTGCAAGTAATTTTTATTTTTTAATTTTAAACACTGTATGATAGATATAATAGATATAGTAGATACTGTATGATAGATATAATAAATAGAGTAGAAATCATAGAAATCATCGATTTTAGACGCAGTAAAACGCAGTGATCATCCAATAGAATTTAAGTTACATGTTATATATATTTGTAACTTTAACGATCTTGGGATTCAGTGATCTAAATCATGTGATTTTGTGCTCGTTAGAATCGTCTCGATGAGCTGATTCCAATAATGTGTGTTTCATTTAAATTGGACCAATGGTTCAAAAATTATAAGAAAAAGGTAAAATTTAACATTATAACAATATATTCCAGGATTTTTAGACCTGATATATACCTGATATCTATTAATTTAACCTGTGTTAATTGTATAGTTTTGTATATAGGTGGTGTATATTTGTAACAAAAAATTATTTAAAAATTAGTTATCATTAATAATAATAATAATAATAAAAATCGTTAAGAAAAATTATTTTATTAAAAATTCGAATATTTTTTTTTTGCATTACACTGATTTTAAATTTGTTGGTAACGCTAGTATAATTTTGGTTGATTTGTTTACGTAGTACTAGTAAACAAATGACGCCTGTAGATTGAAAATTATATTAGCGGAATTACGAGTATACGTTATTTGTAATATGCACTCAGCATGTTTGTTTTTTTTATAGTTTATAGTACAGGACTTTTATTACCGTACTCAACTTAGAAAAGAACTAATTATTACTATACTAAACTCAGTAAGATTAGTATACTTAATTGTGACAACCGTACGTACGTAGGTATGTAGAGATAAGACTCACTCGGGTAACTTGTGTAAGTGTCATAACTATTGCTACCTGGGTGACCCGGATTAATTATTCAGAAACAAAGTGTGTTCTCGAGTAACTCCCTCATTGATTGAGTTGTTGTTAATAATTGCGACTAATTGAATGGCCTTATACTGTAACTTAATTTTTAATTTCAGCCAAATGAAATAACTTAAATAAATTGTGTTAATTTTTTCAGCAAATCAGGTTATATCGGAGACGGAGTGTAATGAAGCGTATGGCATTTAAAATATATCTCACTTTCTAGTTTGCCTTTTGTGTTATTGTTTGGTCAAGTGCTTGTTTATTGATTGGGTTTTAAAGTTTATTAATCGGTGGAATTAAAATTTATAATGCCTGACGAATGATGATGACAAAACTCATTACGAATCATAAATTTTATATGTAATATAAGCATTTGAGTGTAATAAATGTAGGAAAAATTAAAAGATGCGATTTCATAATGGAAATAAATTGCCTATGTGAAGTTCATTATTCAGTTTTTTTTTTTTTTTTTTTTTTGACACATTGATACGACATTGCATTGGTCCGATAGGTCTAATTAATACCGATATCATCGGCTTCAGATTCAATATAATATAAAGCTAAAAAATTAATTTTGAGTTTATTAAATTTGTAAAGTTAACTTTTTATAACGAACTGACGATTTAATAAAAAAGTTCATTATCAATTAAAAAATTACTGTTTTCTATGAACCGATGAAATATTTAAATGAAGAATAACAGTAATTTTGAAAAGCTTGTCGATTGAAGGTCAACTGTATTTTTATATTCTATTAGTCAAATTAATTTCATCAATAGTTTCGTCAATTGTCAAAGTTTCGTCAGGCAACATTAATTAAAATCAGCAAATTTTTGTTCGAATAATTTTATCTTGCTAACATGATCAATGGAATTAAAATCATCAAAAAATGAATACTTATTTACCATTACCAGAATACTCTTCAAATCGTTTTTAACGAGTGAATTTATAATTGGTGGAATTAAATCAAAACATAAATACTTATTTACCATTCCCTAATACCCATTTATTAGCATTAACATTAGTAAATCGGTGAGTATAAAGATGATTTATTAATCGATGGAATTTAAATCATCAAATCTTGAACATTTACTACGTACTACGTATCTTACTCTGTAAATCTATTTAGGGAGTATTGATTAATTTATAAACATTAGCATTAGCCAATAATATGAATTTCTTATCAAAATAACGAAATCATTTAAAGTAACCCGGTTTGTGGTCCGGTTAATAATTTTAAAACGGGTGGTAAACCGGAGCTTAAATTTTAAGCGGGTACAATCTCTTATACGTACTGTACGTACATGCATACTAGATACTGTACGCGAATAAAAAATTAATAGCATATATTGTAAATAGTACATCACTATGTAGGAATGTGAAATAACCGGCATTTTTATTACGTTTTACGTAATGTCACATGTTAAGAGAGATGGCTACATATAGATTGGCTATCTCTCATGTTATTTCTATATTCATTACACATGGCCAATAAAAAAAGAAAAAATTAGGAGTAACGTGAAATCGAAAACGATCATAATTTTGGCATAAAAAAAATTCAAATTAAATCTGTAAATAATCTAATTTAAAATCAACATTCGTTAAATATAAAGGGATGTGTCACAACGCAACTGCGCAATATGATAAAATTTCCAATATCAAATTCTAATACGTACTAAGTTACAAAGTTCTCATACCACACACCATTATTTATGATTTATAAGAAATTAATGACTAATGTTCTAAATTGGCGTTTTTTTTTTTTTATGTTGCTCACACGATCGATAGCTTGATGCAATATCATATATGATCAAATCCTTTTATTCTTATCGTTATCTATTATAGGAATATTGATAAACAATAGAGGATATATTAATTTATTTGCATTAAGCTATACCCCAACAGAACTTATAGGGATTTTTTTTTTTCTTACTAATTATAGAATAAATAAGGATGTTTCTTCGCACTTCTCCGGAAATTTGTAATCAGAAAGGATCATCAAGAATCAGGTGAGAGATGTGGCAGTGTTAAATTATATATACTGCATAAATTAAAATTATATACCGATATTGGTATTATATATCTTTAAATATATATATATATTCTATATAGCTAAATTGAGTAATTTATACATAAAAAATTTATACCCAAAAAAAGTATCCATTGTGTTTATCTAGACATGTGTACTCTTATAAGGTTGTACTTACCTAAAATAAAAAAATTTTTTATTATAAATTTAAAATATTGTTTATACTGTACATAAATTAAAATACGTTATACAGTATATGTTATATTATATAACTTATATATAATATTTAATCCTTGGTACGTTCGTATTAAAACCCACGGGTGCATTATATGCCGAACATAGCATTACCTAATTAACTTAATATAATTAATTTTTCTTTATTAAGTGTTACGCGTTTAATAGTAACACTAAACTTTAATTATTAAATAACGTGATTTCATGTGAGATACCTGTTTATTTAAATATATTTTATTTATATTATTTATTTATTTATTGGAAAAAGTTTGTTAGCATATACTATATTTATTTAAATATTATAAGGGGTTGCGCAATTAATCACGTAATACGTATATACACTATTACTAGCTTAAATACGTAATTCGTGTATTGTACTAAAATCACGTGCTAAAATGTACACTCTAAAAAAGATTTGACATTAATTTATCTTGCGAAAATTTTTATTTAAAATGATTGGATAAATATGAAATAACAAAGAAATATATGAAAATAAAAAAAAAATGAATGTTATCTATTTTTAAAACTTTTAAATTAAAAGAACGATTTGTAAAACTTTAATAAATTTTAATTGTTTCGAATGTATTTAATTATGCATCTAATTAATTTTTGTATGCAAGTCATGAAATTAATTCTATCCATTATCCGATTTATTTTATTATAAATAGTCATTTAAATTCGATAAAAATTTCTTTTGATAAAACTTCTCTATTAATTATGATAAACAAAATTACATATATATTTTTGAATGAATGAATAAAATAAAAATATTTACAAGGATATAAAAAGTTTTCTAAAAATTTTTCAAATCTCTCTCTCTCTCTCTATTTTTAATATTCTATAAAATCTTAATTAATAAAGAGAAAAAAAAAAAAAATTTTTTTTTGTTAATTGAAATATTCCGAAAAACTTAAATTGTTCTTATTTTTAATAAACATTATAAAAAAAACTTACGATGTTGATTATATGTGATTAATATGAATAGTTTTTTTTGTAATGTAATGTAAATGAAAAAGTTGGGTAATTCTAATTTTCAATGTTTTTATTTAAAATTCGTATTTTGTTATTCGTTATCTTTTTTTTTTAAAAAAAAAATTGCTATTTTTTTTTTTTGCTAAAGTATGTTATGATAAATAATTTACAATCTTATGGAGAAAAAAAAAAATATATGAAAAAAAAAAGGTGTGAAAAAAATATATATATATTTGTGTGTTTTTTTTAAAAAATATATATCAATATAATCTTGGAATTTCCTCATAACTCCATTTAATATTATGATCCAAAAAAACTTTTTGATAATCACGAGAATAAAGATTATCTAAAAGAGCACCAGAAGTATATAAAGTTTTTAAATTTTTACAATTCATAGAAGTAAAAAATAAATGATAAGTAGAAATATCAAAAGCTTGTCTTTTTTCTCTTTCAGTTATAATTAAATTTCGAAGATTTTTAGGAGATTGTTTTGCAATTTGTAAAAAAAAAGAACGATCTAATAAAAAATCTATTATAAAATAAAAATATTTTAAATTATGACAAGATGATAAAACTGATAAAATATCATATTGTCCTAATTGAGGTAATTCCAAATATTCTAATTTTTTTGAATGTTTAATTATCGTTTTAACTAATTCTGAATATTCACCTGATATTCTAAGTATAAGACATTTTAGATTATTATTTAATTTTAATAAATTAACTATTAAATCTAAAACATAAGGATCAATTGAATTATAATCACAAAATTCAAATTGATTTAAATTATGAATTTTACAAATAAAATTTTTAAAATATTTGTTTTCTAATCGACAACAAATAATAATTTCTATTGATTTAAGTGAATCAATAAAATTATCAGAAAAATTTTCTTTAAAAGAATCAAAATTAATTCTATTAAATCTTAAAGATTTTATAGAATGAGATTTTAAGACATGAATTAAAGGTTTAAGAATTTGATGACATCTATTTAAAGAAAATTTTTCTAATTCACGTTGAGATTGTATTAAATGTACGATAGATTCATAACAATCTTGAAATTTTGAATCAATATCAATATCAATTTTTTTGATTCTTGAACAAGAAGAATTTAAAAGTGATTTTAAAAAAGGAATAGGACTATGATCAGAATGATTTGAAGCGGAAATTTTAAGAAAATTTAAATTTTGAAGGCAAGATAAAGATTGTTGATTATCAAAAGGCCAAGCAGATTCATCATCAAAAGCCAAGGAAGAAATTCTTTGAGCTCTTGAAAAAAAGAGTTCATGAAAAATTCTATTTAAATGTAAAGTGGCTTTACCTTTTTCTACAGACCACTTTTTATATAACCAAGCCTCAGTAAGTCTACTAATAAATTTATCAGTAACTTTTCTAAGGAAAAAAGGATAATCAAAAGCAGGAGGACATCTTCTAGGAGCATGAGGAACAGGTATATTATTTGCTTTTAGAAATCTCTTCATTTCTTGTGATAAGCAAAGTAAATAAGTTTTTACAAGAAATTTAAATTTTTTAAAATTAGGATTTGGAGCTTGCCATAATATAGGAGCAACGATTCTACACCATTGTCTATTAACTAATAAACATGAGAATAAATCACTTGGCTTCAAAACATTTAGTATAATCTCCTGTAAAACTTCAATTGAAAGTTTGTTTATTGAATCATTTAATTGATGATGATGATGTTGTTGTTGATGTTGATGTTGTTGATGTTGATTATGTTGATGATGTTGATGATGTTGATTATGATGTTGATTATGTTGATGTTGATGATGTTGATGTTGATGTGAAGAAGAATAAGAATTGCGAGAATGTTGCTGAGGAGTTTTCCGTAATTGAGGTTGATCAACATGATTCTGAACTTGAGAACCAGGACGAGTATGAATTGAAATAATTCCGGGAGTAGAAAGGGTATTAATATTTACAACATTAATAATCCTTGGTAGATGATGAACACCAGATACGAATTGTCGAGGATAATTATGATTACTCATAAGGTTGAAATTAAAACTTTGAGAATTGGATCCTAATAAGTTGTTATTTGTATTATAGACGTCACTAGGATTTATAAAATATTTCAAGGAAATTAAACTATTATCAGAAGAACTAACGGTCGAATTAAATGCCGAATCGATTGACGAATTAATTGACAAATTAATTGCCGAGTTAATTGGAGGCAAATTAATTGTCGAATTAATTGAAGGTAAAGTAATTGGACGTTGTTGTTGTTGTTGTTGTATTGATTGTGAATGATATTGTTGAGGATCCGAAAAGATTTGATTATTTGATGAAATTTTAGAGTTAGAGATATTAATTAAGTTTAGATTAGAAAGTAGAGTTAGTTGATGAGTTTGTAATTGTATTTGTCCTTGTTCAGAGATGTTATGAGTGATTAGAGAGTGATATTTGTTGAGAGATTCATTATATTGAAAGTATAATTAAGTATTTGATTGATGGAAGTAGCATAGAAGAGTATTTATAGAATTATTTGGAGAAAAGTATTCAAGTGTATTCAGGAAATAGTTAGTTTATGATAAGTTGATTAGTGGCCATTTTTCAGGAACAGTTTGATTATCTAATTTGGCTGATAGTTGTAAGAACTATTTTGGAAGTCTTTCTTTTGTGGGCTTATTTGTTTGAAGATATATATTATTCTAAGAAAGAAAATATAAATTATCAGCTGTTGTTATTTATTCGATAAAGAAAAGTTTGTTGTTTCTAAGACTATTTGTAGTTGCAATATTTGTGTTTGATAGTAAGATAGTATAGATATTAGATTATAATGAAGGAAGTGATGATGAAGGTAAAAGTAAAAAGTAATATTTGCTATTGTAATATTATTTTTTGCAAGTTGTGAGAGTTAAATATTAAATTGTAGTTCGTAACTTTGTGAGAGTGATGTAATAAAATTTCTGTAGTGAGTTGAGGTTGCCAAATTTTATATAGCTAATTTTTTATTCTCAATAGAGAGATTTCTTTTAGTAGAGAGTTATTATTAAAAAGTCAATCTATATTTGATGCAGAGACTTTTTGAATTAAATTTAAAAGTGTAGGGAGATTAAAAGATAATAGATTAGTTAATAATATATTATTCATATTTTTTGCAAGTGAAAGAGATTTTTTGGTATGTATTGTAAGGAGACAAGAGAGTTTAGCCTGTTAAGAAGAGTAGAGAGTAACTATTTGTAAAAGATATTCAAGAGATAGTTGTAAAAGTAAGTTAAATAATTTAGAAATTTGAGTTGATGTAAGTTTTTTGTATCAAGTCAAGGAAAGAAAATTTTCTATTTTATTAAAGATAACTTCATAAGTAGGTTGTGGTAAACTATGACTATCTAAAAAGATATTAAGATATCTTATTACTTCTGTTTGTTTGTGAGGTATTATTATTTGATCATTGTATTGAAGTTGCTAATTATGTTGTTGAATTTTGATTTGGGATGAATATGTAAAAGATCTAATTTGGCAGAATTGATTTCAATATTATTTAGTTTATATAAATTATTAGTATCAATAAGAATATTTTGCATAGTCTGCAAATTTTCTATATGCCATATAGTATCATCCATATAAGCTAGTGGTGGAATAGTTATGGGTATAGAGTGGTGTTGAGAGATTGTTTCAAGTAGTGATAGTGTTTGAATTTTTAGAAAGGATTTTTGGTATTTGTCATTTATAAAAGAGAGTATAGGAATATAATATATCTTCCATAGTAGAGAAGAATAAGTTTCTCCTTGTTCAATACCAGATCTGATATTAACTAGAGAAGTAAAACCAAAAGCAGTAATTACTTAAGCTTGACACTGTGTATGTAATTCTGTTATGAAGTCTATACTTTGTTTAGATATTCCAATTCTTTTGCAAGTATCCTGAAGGCATGAAATATTAATTTTATCAAATGCTTTTGACATATTTTAAAAAAGAATCTAGGCTTCTTTTTTATGAAGTTTGTAATGTTCAATAGTATGTTGAAGTATTTGAATTGGAATATGAGTTGAAGAGTTTTTTGTAGCAGCAAAGTTGAGATTTGAGAGGAGTTTATGTTGAGTAATGATTTTGTCAAGATGTTAAGTAAATATTTTTATAAGGTATTTTTAAAGAGGTTCTAAAATAGAAATAGGTTGCACTTGATTTAGTGTATAATTCTATGTAGATTTTTTTGGAATTAAGAATATATTAGATGTTTTCCAAACAGTTAGAACTTTTTGGAGTTGAAGATAACAACTAACAAATTGCCTTAAAATATGTTGAGCTTTAGGACCAGTATATTTAATATGTTTATAGCTAGTTTTTAAGGGATAGTTGCTTTTTGTAGAGAAAGATTTTTGATAACAGAGGTCCATTCCTCTTCTGAAATTTCTGATAGAAGGTTTTGAAAATATTTTTTATTTTCAGAATATGGTTCATAGTATTTATAATAGTCAGATATTAGTGGGATTTATGAGAGTAGTTTTTCGTTAAAATATTCTGTAAAGTGGGAGTGGATTGCTTGTTGAATTTGTTGTTGTTCTGTAAGGAGAGTATTGTTATTAGTATTTAATCTATCAATATTTATATTATTGTATTTTTCAAGAATATTCTGATAGAAGATTTTTGGTGAGTTTTTGAAGGTTTTGTTACGTTCTTCGATTTTTTGTTAAATTTTTTCTTGTATTTGATACTTTGTTGAATATTTAGTGCATTTTTAATTTGTTTAAATTCATTTTTAATTGTAGAGAGGGAAGGAGAAATATTATGAAGTTGGTTATCTGGATATTGTTTATTATATATAGTAATTAGTAAATAAAAGTTTTTATAGTTAAAGTGATTTTTAAGAAATTGAATTTGTTTAAAGCGATAATATAGTAGGGAGAATTTAGTATTTGAGTACTCTTTAATTTCATGAATTGTTTTGATTTTTTTGAAAGGAATGTATTTGATAGTGGCTTTAGATAAAGCCTTATGTATTTTGTTCTAGAGTAAGTTGAGTTGGTTTTGTGATTTGGTTTTAAGGAGTTGGTTTTGAAGTTGTTGTAAGCTTTGAGAAGTTTGATATGCATATTTTTCTAATTGTTCTTTGTTGCATTTTTTCTATAGGAAGCTTTTTCTAGTTTTTTGTTTAACTAGAGAAAATTAGTTAATTTGAAGTGAAAATTCTATTGATATTAATTGATAATCAAATTCAAGTTGAAGTACAGATATTATATCTGTATAGTTAATAAGTGTTGCACTGATATTAGTCCAAATATGATTAATTTTACAGAGTTTGCCCTAGAAAAGATATATTTAGATGTCCTAGGAAAGAATAGATGAAAAGTATCTTTAAATTGTTAGCTTATTAAGAATTTAATAAGTTTGGATTCTGGAATTGAATATTTTTTGCAGGAAGTCTGTCTAGACGAGGGTTTGGAACACTATTAAGATCACCCATTATAATAATTTTATATGTTGTATCCAAGCATAGTTTAATTATTTCTTCCTGTACTTCTTTTCGTAGTTGCTTTTTTTTTGTTGTTGGTAGGTAGATTTGTAGAAGACGTATTGAATTGTTTTTGAAATGTAGATCAATTCCTATAATATGACCTTTGAAGTTATATGATTTGGCAATATATTTAGATATAGAGTGGTGTATAAAGATTCCTACACCCGCTTGACATGAGTTGGTATAAGAGTTCCAAAAACTTGTATAAGTTGTAATTTCTTTGTTAAAGAACTTGCCTTCTTTTGTTGAAAGATGTGTTTCTAAAATACCAAAGATAAAATATGTATTTTGGTTAATCAGTTCTAGTAATGATAATTGTTTGTGAAGTAGAGAGAGTCCATTAATATTAATTGAAGCAATTTTTAAATCCAAAAAATCATTTTCAATATTATTGTTAATTATTTGATTTGGTGTAGAGAGAAGTAATTTGTTAGTTTATAAATGAATGTTTTCAGAGATAGTTAGTTGGTGAGTATATTGTTGAGTTTGTGTAAAAAGTTCTGCATTAATTTGTGGAGTTTGAAA